TCAGTACAAGCAGTGGCAGTAAGAAACATAGTTTTAAATAGATCTATATAGCATTATTATAAATTTGGCCATCAGATCAATATTTTGAACTTGAAAGTGAGATGATATTTTAAATGTTTATACAGTACTATGTTGACAACACATAGCACACTTGTAATACATTCATACATTATAAATTTTAAGCCTTTTGTTGACTTTCAACCAATAACTCATCTTTGTGTTTAAGTACAGAATAACAAACATGGGAAAGCTACAAAAACATGACCTCCTTGGCAGAAGTATTAGGCGAGAGAGCAGAGAATCCTGAAAAAAATCACCACAAAGTAATCGGACGGATTCAGCTTCACGCAGCTTTAAGTCGGAAATAAGAGATTTTTAAGATCACGAACTCAGTTTCAAGTTTTGAGTCTCTCTGATTTCATTTGCTGATTAAAGAAGAAGCCATCTGTGTTTACAGACCACACAAAGCACAATCAGCATGCACAGAGTGAAATCACCACTTATTTCAGAACTATAACTCACCGCTCGCTGGAGTTTGGTTTACAGACTGATGGAGGGGCATTCTCTCTGTCTTGTGATTGGTTGGGAATTTGTGAGGGAAGCTGCTTGGATGCAGTGCTGCTTTTGACCAGCGGAGGGAAGTGAGGAGCAGGAAGATTTGTTTGTGTCACATTTTTAAGAGCCGTGTTGGCGTGTTTGGTACCAGCAGGGGGCGTGTGTGTGTTTAACTCAGAAATGGACAAGGAGGAAACCGTTTTCATCTTTTCTTTGTCTTCATCTGACCTGTTGGCCTCCAGACTGCAGACCGATGCTGCTCGAGCCTCCTCTTTCTTCTTTCTTCTCTCCATCTCCTCCTCCTGCAGCTTCTGCTTTTGTTTTTCTTCATTCTTTTTCCTGTCTTCTTCCTCTTTCACTTTCCTTTCAGCTTTCTCTTTCTCCTCTCTCTGCCTCTTCACCTCATCTTCCTTCTTTTTTCTCTCCTCCTCCTCCTTTTTCTTCTTCTCTGCCTCCTGTATTCTCAGCTCCTCTTGAAGTCGCCTCTTCTTTTCTTCTTTTTCCCTTTTGATTCTCTCCATTTCCTCCCTTTGTATCCTCTCCTTTTCTTTCTGCTCCTTTACGAGCCTCTCTCTCCTCTCCTCCTGCCTTCTCATCTCCTCTTGTAGTTGCCTCTTCTTTTCTTCTTCTTCCCTATTAATTCTCTCCATTTCCTCCCTTACTATCCTCTCCTTTTCTTTCTGCTCCTTTACGAGCCTCTCTCTCCTCTCCTCCTCTTCACGTCTTTTCTCTTCCTCTTCCTTTTTCTTCCTCTCCATCCTTTCTATCTCCTTCTCTCTCTCCTCTTTGAGTCGTCTCTCCTTTTCTTCCACTTCTCTCTTCTTTCTCTCCTCTGACTCTTTGAGTTTTTTCTCCTCCTCCTCCCTTTTTCTTCTCGCTTCCTCCTCTATTATTTTCTGCTGCTCCTTCTCTTTGGCCTCTTTCAAGCGTTTCTCCTCCACCTTTCTTTTTTCCTCTTCCTCCGCGAGCCTCTTTTTCTCTTCCTCCCTTTTTTTTCTTTGCTCCTCAACTGCTCTCCTCTCCTCTATCTTTTTCTCCTCCTCTTCCTTCATCTTTTTGATGAATCTTTCTCTTTCAAGTCTTCTCTCCTCCTCCCTCTGGAGTTTTTCCTTTTCCTCCTCCAGCTCCAGGAGTCTCCTCTCTTCCTCTCTTTTTCTCCTCTCCTCCTCATCTCGCTTCCTCATCTCCTCTTCTACCCTCAGTTTCTCCTGTTTCTCTTTCTTCTCCTTCAGGAGTCTCTCCTCCTCACGTTTCATCCTTTCTTTCTCCTTCTTGATCTCTTCCTCCTCCTGTAAGAGTCTCTTCTTCTCCTCTTCCAACAGTCTCTTCTTCTCTTCCTCATGTTTTCTCCTCTCTTCTTGCTTTAAAAACATGGCCTTTTGCTCTTCCTCTTTTTGCCTCCTTTCCTCCTCTTGTTTCTTTTGAATTTCTGCCTCCCTCTGCTTCTCCTGCTCCTTTGCGTTTGCTGCTCCCTCTAATTGCTTTTCTCCGTACTTCTTTTCATTGGTTTTTTGTTCAAGACTGCAGAACAGATACACAATATACCTTAAGGCTTTATTTCTCTGTCTGCGTGTATCACCTTCATCATCACTTCACATTCTGCAACCTTAGCATTCGTTTTCGAAAATAATTACTCCTGATTGCATCCTTGAATATAAATACTCACCCTGGGGGACACCTTTTGATAGTATCGTGCTTAGAGTCATCCTCTTCCAGAAACAAACCCCTTGATTCTTGTCTCTGGTTAGGCGACTCAAAGATGACATCATCAAAGTCAGGCTCTGGCTCTGGCTTTGCCAAGGGCGGCTTTTCTGTGTTAATGGAGCTACTAATACTCTCACTGGAAGGCTTTTTAACATCAATTTGCTCTGGAACATTGGGCTGTTTAGGAGTTATAAATGCTGCCACGACAGTGGTGGAGGGCTGCTGGGGAGTGGTGCGCTCGTAGGAAGCAAAGGGCCAAGGAGGGGGTGGCGCTATGATCAGCTCTGAGCGGGTCTGGGGAGGACTAGGGACAGAAATATTGGAGGTCAGGCTCAACAGATAAGCAGCTGAGATAACAGAAAGCTGAGAGTGCAGACCAGACCAGGATTTCAAGGCAACAGGAGGCAGAAATCAAAGCACTTTGCAACTGTTGGCATATGTTAGCATCATGGAAGCACAATCACAAACAAGAAGCAACTGTGCTGCGCTGGGGAAGTGCACACTGACAATTATCGCAGACCTACATCTAGAAACATGAACAGCAGGCTGAAGCACTAATTTGGGGATAATTTGGATGATCGTTAGAGCTGATAAGCCAATGATCAATGCTCCTTATTAGGTTTTTATAGTTTGTTCCATTTTTGTTTGAAAATAGGACCAAACAATTGTAGGAGCGTTGCTGTCCAGCAGCTATGTTATCAGTGGTATTGAATAGTTAAATCTGGGTGTCTTAGATGGCTGTTTAGGGAAATATGCTTATTTGTTGTCTTGCAGCGTTCACAGATTTCCACTAAACATGAAGCCTCCACCAGCAGACGGTTACCTTTGTACAGCATCAAAGTCCAGACTGACACATCAGACTGAGTCGATGAGCTCTTCTAAAACTCGCTTATTAGGAGCTCATATCTTGTCTTTGTTGCCAATTCAGGTAACCTGTTTCCACTGCTTCCAGTTTTTATGTGAGCATAACAGCTTGAGGTCATTTGGTTAATACTTGAGGTCATCAATTTATTTTTTATGTTTAAATCTCCCAAAAAAAAGATTTCCTTATTCCTTAAAACAGTATCGCGAATTCAAACACACAGCACATCTAAGACTGCCTTTAAAAACAAATCAAAAAGATTACAGGAAGAAGAAAAAAAAGGAAGTGAGCCTTCTAACTTTTTGTCTTTGTTTCAATGTGAACAAGTGTTGTCATCTTTGCTGTTTCTCCTGCACTCAGTTAGATCTGCTCCCAGTCCACAAGACACAGCATAACCTTTGCGGTCTGACAGATTTTCCACTCACACAGCAGTTTCAGGCCAAACATATCTTCAAGGCACCAAACCTTGCAATCTAAATTTATCCCTTCATGTGATATCGTCCCATGACCTCACCTGATCCGCAATGGTCCGACTTTGTTTTCTGCGATGGTCACCTTTGAATCCTGGGCTGCTCTGACTGGCTGAGTGGACATCTTGCTGTGTAAAGCTGTCCCTTTGTTTTTGGGGGAATCCTTGGATTGGTGCAGAGGGCTTGCGGCTGCTTTTTTCACTGCTGAGGTCGTTTCCTCATCCACCTGAGCGAGGGGGAATGTTAAGCCTACACAGAATGAGAAGGAAAGATCAGAACATACTTTGCACAAAAGGAGGAAAGACTGTTTTTGCTTTAAATTGGATATTTTCAGATAGAAGAATGAGGAACATGTCTTTGAAATGAGGATGATTTGCAGGCTAGTGTACCTGACCGACTGGAGCTGGTATGTGCTGGAGGAGCAGAAGGACGAGTTACAGTGAGAGGTGAGGAGAGAAAGGCAGGCTTTGGTAGAGAAGAGGATTGAGCGGGTGAAGTGCAGAGGATAGAAGCAGGACAGACTGGAGCCACTGGGTCACAGAGGGCATCAAGATCAGTACTAGTTAACAGAGGAACGGGGGCGATGTCCCCATCAGCTCTAACAGAGTCAGATTTCAACTTTGCTCCGTGAGCACCTGGAAAATGAGAAGGAATGACAGGAAGGATGATTTCCAGGATGAAGACAGAGGAGAAACACTGAGAAATAACTACAGAACCTATGAAAGCTCAGAAATAGGAAAAGCTGCCTTCAATTACCTGACTCTGAGCTAGAGGTGGGAGATTTTGGAAGAGGGGGTACGGATGAAAGAAGAGGGGCATCAGAAGAAAAAGGAGAGGGAGAAGTTGGGCGGGCGACTGACTTAACAATTTGAGGTCTGAAAATGTGAGAATGTCCTGTCAGAGGGTAACACAAAATGTTTAAGTTATTAAACAGAGAACAGAGAGGATAGGCATTGCTTTTGTTAAGACTGTAAATACAGAGACAGACCAGAGGCTGAAGCAGAATCATCTGCAGTTTGAACCTCTGGGGGGCGCCGCTGGTATGAAACAGGAGCTGAGGAGAAGAGAAGTGTGAACATAAGAGGAAGAAAGAAAGACTAAAGTTGGTATGAGGAAAGAGTGAGCTAACAACATTATTCCAGTTTAAAGACATATAGAAAAGAGTTATGTACAATATTTTATTTTATTCACTTTATAACTATGAAATCCTTAAAAATGCCTTCTCGGGTCTGTATCTGTATGTGTTTTTGTATGTAGTTTTACAGGGCCAAAAGCTTTTTTAATTCTTTTCATTTATTAAGCCACTTAAAAATGACTTATGAATCACTGAAGGATAAAAAAAGGCACCTAACTCAAGGGATGGACCAGTGTTGTGTTTAAACAGAACAAACCTAGAAAATAAATGGTATCTTTAAATCTTTAGGCACTTTGTTGCTGGCTGCCTGTCGCAAAAACACATCTTTTCTTCATTCTTATCTCTTCAAATTGTTGTCTACATGAAGAGCTACTGTCAGAGTCAGTCAAGTATATATTTGTAATGGTACATAAATGACAGATGGGTGGCTCATTTAAATATATAGATGTAACTAACGCCTGTACACAAGCCACATGGATTCAGTTACATGAAGGATTTAGCAAACAGCTAATATTAGACAGACAGAGCAGACTTTGAATGTTGACTGATGTTAAATGAAAAGAGGCAAACTATTTAAAAAATGAATATAAGAATGAGCATAAACAACTAATTTATCTTGCTCTGAGACAGTCACACAACATTCAGATGTTTCACTCAAAATTCTGAAATCATCACAACCTGAACATGCATATAGCTTCCTCCCAACACAACATAATCCAGAGTGCAGTCCATTCTCTGTTTCACTCTATCTGTTTCCATGGGCATGAAGCTAAATCATGCAAAAGTCGAAACGAAATCAGACGGTCACACATCATTCATCAGTTTGTCTGAAGCATGCAGCATGCCTGTCTACCAGCCAGCCTCTCATTACCTTTTGCAGAGCCTGACTGGAAGATTTTTGGCAGAGAGGGAGGCTGAGAGATGGTCCAGGTGAGTGGAGGGTGAGATGATGGCAGTTCAGAGGACGGGGTAGATTTTGTTGGGAAGGAAGATTTGATAGAAAGGGGCTGGGAGCCAGTGGATTTGGGTTTATGCGGGAGAGAAGTAGATACGGTTAGTGAAGTCTTCTGTAAAGTGATGGAAGATGATGTTACAATGGGCTCAGGTGATGACGGTGAAGTGGAGGGAAGTTTGGGAGGTACAGAAGAAATGCTCATGGGAGGTGCACAGGCAGGCTTTGAGGACAGAGAAGAGGGTGTGCTTGAGTCTGCAGCACCTTCACTGCAACTGGATGAAGAATTCACAGGAACTGACACCAGTGAGGCAGGAGGTAAAGGAGACACAGATTCAGAGGATTTAGGAGATGGAGTGTGGGTGGGCACGTCAGGCAGAGGAAAGACAGGAGGCATACTCTGGATTGAAGGAGCATCTGCTGTGATCTGGGAGCTTGGAGCTGAGTCAGTCAGAGAAGAAGCTTCAGGAAGAACAGGATTGGCAGATTTCTTATGCTTGGACCTGGGTGACGGCTGAGGGGAGGGGCCAGGGGATGGCTGGATCTCTGACTGGACAGGAGTAGTGGACAAGGGATGTCGCGAGCGGCGTGGAGAAGGGCGGGGGGCAATTGGTAAAGGAGGCCGGGAGTGCACAGCTAGACTGGAAGGACCACCATCACTTCCACTGGCTGCATTAATACATGGAAGGATGGATAGAAGGATAGATTAATGAAAGTAGATTAGAAAAGAAAGAGGAAGAAAGAAAAGAGAATGAAATGTGCATATGAATATGATGCAATGGAATGGCAAACTAGGTTACTCTTGAGATAAGCCTATGAGTATTCTTTCTTAAGTGTGATACAAGAAGAAATAACCCAAAGTCCATTTATAAATCTTCATTTGGACAGTTGTGGTCACAAGTTTACTGAGACCATTATTGGCATGAACGTCATGATAATTTTGGGGGTTTAGTGATTTCTTTGAATTGTTCTTTTTCCGGGGTGGAATAATTGTGCAGTAAACATCTATAACGACTTTATTTAGGATTTTCTCTAATTAACACAGGGTCAAAAGAATACATTCAGGCTCAAATACACCCCTACAATTATTTGGTTAAATGCTCCTCTTGACCTGATGATTTTGGTAGCCATCAACAAGCTTCTGGCATAATTCTGGCTGGATGTTTTCAGCAGTCTTCTTAGCAGAATTGGCAGAGTTCATTTAAATGGGTTGGTTTCCTGGCACAGACCTGACGTTTAAGTGTAGTTCCCAAACCTTGTGGTAAAGTTGAAGAATTTGGAGGTCGTCCTCCTTCTTCATTATTTCATAAATGTTGTGTAATCTACCAGTAACACTGGCAGCAAAACAGTCCCAGAGGATGACGCTACCAACACCACCATGCTTGACAGCTGGTGCATTGTTCATAGGTTTGAAAGCCTCGCCTTTAGTACTCCAAACATACTTCTTGTCATTTTGGCGAAATAGCTTCAATCTTTGTCTCGTCCGATCAAAAACTTTTTTTCAGAAGATATTTGGCTTCTCCACGTGAGGAGCTGCAAATCAACTTTGGAGCAGAGGCTTCTTTCTTGCTCTGCACCTTCTCAGTTCATGGTGATGTAAAACTCACTTAACTATGGACAGTGATGCTGGTGTTCCAGCACTTCCTGGTTCATAGCAGGCCTGAGCCTTGATGGTTCCTGGTTGTTCCTGAACACCTCAACCACATTCCTCTCATCCGATGGTGACAGTTTGGATTTTCTTTAAGACCTTGGCAAAATGTGCTTTTATACAATTATTTGAACTGATGATCTTGGAATTGTTGTTTAGAAGCTGTTCACAGCTTGTATAAATCTACAACCTACAGCTATGCTGCAAAGAGAAACTGCAAGTTGTATTAAATCATAATCACTACAGAAAAGCTAATAGGCACTGTCAAGCTAAAAGATACTGTAGAGCCTTCAGCACCACTTTTTGAAATATTTAATTGGAAGAACTCCTCTGTGTCTGAATGTCTCTCCAAATTCAAATACAACGTAGTTGCAGCAATCCAAAAAAGAAAACTGTATGAAGCAGCGCTAATGTCTGTTTGGACACAAAAACCTCAGTGTGTTCAATGCTGTCTCTGCGTAAACTTCAGTATATTGGTGGCAGTATTTTGCCATCACATGATTCTTAATCATGTTTAGTATGTGGACGAGAAATATGTGGTGTCCAAAGGACTGTCCATTCATGCGGTAAGGACCACAGAATAAATGACACAAGTGTGTGAAATACTGCAATATATATAAACTTAGCTAGCCAGTGAGAGACAGGCAGAGATGCAAACAGTAAGTGAGAGTAGCAAGGGGGGAGAAAGCGCTACCTGAGGATGGCAAAGTGGATGCCGTGGAGTGTCGCTTGTCAGGTGGAGGGGGAGCAGGGCGATTTGGACGGGTAAGAGTGTGTGGGACAACTGGAGCAGCAGAAAAAGGGCAGAGTGGAAAAACATACGGGAAATAAGAACAGAAAAGGAAAGCAGAGGAAAAGGAAATGTCAAGAGGTCAAAAAACTGTGTTGGTGTAATCCTGCCTACCTGTGGCAGTCACAGACTTCTTATCCTCTTCTTCATCGCTTTCATTGAAGTCGTCCAGGTTGCCGATATCTGTGGGTTTGACGCTCATCAAGCTGGCAAGACTTTGCATGTCTTCATCACTGAAGAACAAGAAAAACATGCACCACAACCTCATTACCAACCCCACCAATAGGAAGCACTCTTTATGAAAAAAAAGTGTTTTCAAATGCTTTTACTCTTTAAGCTATGACTCATTTATTAAACTCAGGTTAAAAGTGCTATTGTCACCTCCCTGATGTAGAACAGCAGTAAGAGTAAGTAAGTAGTAGTGACTTAAACTACTCACGTGGCTTTTCCCTCTCGAATAAAGACACATGAGAGGGACAGCTTGAGCGTGGCCTCCACCACTTTGACAGACAGTGGCTTCAGCTTCAGCGTCAGGTCAGTCTGGGTTAGCGTGGGGCTAGCAAACCGCTTCAGGTTGATGTCAGCGGATGCCAGCACCTTACGGTGACCCTTATTTTCCTGTAAATAACACAAACAAGTATTATACACCATATTCTTTGATTTCTACTTATTTCTACTTATAAACAGTTTTAGTCAGGCATAGAGAGATACTTACACCCTCAATGACAAAGGTCCATTCTTTGTCTTCAAATTCATCAGCATTGGCATCCTGTGGGGATTATCATAAAAATACCGACTGTTTAGTGGGACATCCTCCTAAAATTGTATCCACATATCCACACATATGCCAGAGTCTTCAGGTGTACTACATAAACTCTATAAAGTCCTGTGAAAAACAGGAGTACATGCAGTACACTGTTACTGTGTCCAGGAAGGAAGGAATTATCTGGTTTTAATTCTAGGAAATGGTAAGTAGCAGCCAAGTGATACTTATCAAATTCACTTGATTAAATAATCACTAACACATGTGAGCACCTCAATAGAAGTTGGAGTTTGGGCAGTTTCCTGGTCTGAAAGACTGGACTTTGCAACGCTCAGAAAGCTACTTTCAGTTTTTTCCCTTTTTCACAGGGAGTCACCAAAGTAGGTAACTCTGCATATTGAATGTGGTAGCATGGCTTAGCTTTGCAATGCTGTATCTTAAAAAACTACAAGACTTCTGGAACAATGAGATGATACCAGAATGGAGGTGTTTAGCCATATTGCACAGCACCAAGTTTGACTAAAACGTCTGTCTGACAGCTACAGTCTGGCTAGAATTATGCAGTTTATCAAGCACAGCAACAAATCTCCAACAGAACGACTGAAAAAAAGTCAGAATTCAGATCTCATCTTGATTTAAATGCAGTGGCAGGACCTTAAGAGCGCTGTGGATAAACAAATGGAAACTTCTAGCAAAAAAAGAGTAGCCCAAATTCCTCCACAGCAATGTGAAACACTGATAACGTTACACAGAAAACAATTACTTCAAGTTATTTATGTTAAAGATGGATTATAAGATGATGATTCATGGACTGTACTTAGGACTGATTTGAGTTCTGTGTAAATGACTTTTTTCACATGACTGTATATTGAATTTATTTAAAAGATGGACTTAAAAGCAATTCCAGTGCAGCCAGCACTTAAACATGCATTCTTTTTAAAGGCCAGCAGAGAGCAGCCCCTTTAGCAAAAAGAAGACTGGTTGTTTGGAAGTCTATGGAATAATAAGCCTCTGTTCCCTTGTCTGTGACCTCAGTCAACACTTTCCTGCTGAGTTTATGGTCTTAGATGCTGGTCTTGAGTCTTATTTACTAAAACACATTTAAATTATAGTCCCTTTTGGAGATACAAAGGATGATAATGAAAGGTATATCCATCATGTTTGGCTTCAGAATGCCAAATTGTCAAAATGCTTAGTTCGAAGCTTTACAACAGGACTTTGTTAACTCATGTTTAATGTCATAGTGTCTATATTCATCCTTATATATACTGTTCCACACTTACCGACCGCTTTTCCCGTATATATATTCTACATCTCTTTTATCCTGAGCAATTAAACTCTTTATCTTTATTACTTCCACACCTTAAATCGATTCGGAATCACCAAACACCCTAAAATGACTAGGCATGACTAGACAGTGGGAGGAGTACCTGCAAAACACCCCCACACAGGAACAGGGTCCAGAGTCACACAGAAACACCCCAGCAGACCAGTGAGAACATTTGAAGCCAGAACCTTCTTGCTATGAGATAATACGACTAACCACTAACTAACCATGGTGTTAACTTGACTCTAAGAAAAGCCTAAAGTTTAAACTTTGGCTTAATAAAGTATTCTAAACTACTCAAGGATTAAAAATGATCTTTCTAAAAGGGACTTTTCGTAACATTTAGGGCCACAGTAAACCATTCACACGAGGATTAACTTGTTCAAGCCACCCAGAAACAACTTATGCCCTGACCTTTGTTATATGTTTCCCTCATTTATTCAGGTTTTTCATTTACTTTGTTATTACATTGTAAATAGTACACTCTGTACACTGGGTGTTGGTACCTTGAAGAGAGTAACAGAGATGTCGATGTTTTCCGGGACAGGCCACACTACCATGCCTCTGTAGGGGTTCTTGATTCCAGGTTGCCAACTGTGGAGCTGCACAAGAAATAACGCATTAACAGAGCTGTGAGGAGTTGTGTATGTGTTTATGTGTGCGGTGTTTTGGTGACTTCACCTTGGAACACATTCGTCTGTTCCTCCTGGTCCACACCACCCTCAGCTTGTCTGGTTGCCTAAAGAAACACGAACACACATCAAAACAGAAGTGCCATTTTCCCTCAGGCCATTGTATGTCAGTCATACCTAATACACTCTTTGTTCATAAGCAAGAGTTCTCAGAACAAAGTAGACATGATCCAAACTAGATAACACAAGTAAGAGATCTTGTGACTGCTGAATAATAATTCCTCTGTGCCAATGAAAGAACATGATGTGTGTTTATTTGTGAAGACGGTTGTCAGCAAATCTATGCAGGTCTGTGAAGATGTGATGCTGTGCATTTACGTGTTAAAGTGTTAGAGTACAACAAGTTACCACATGAAACATGTTACAAGTGTGTACCTGTCTTTTTGTAAATGTGTGTTTTATAACACCTGTTTCTGTGTTTCTATTGTATTTCTCAGCCCTCTCTGGCACAGGATGTGAGACAGGAAGCTGCACAGTCATATGACCTAAATTTGTATGACTTATAAGGCGTGCCTATGACAGGAAGAGAGGAACCCCCATAACAGGACACGAGATACTAACAAATGCAGACACCGATCCACATAATACCCCTTTGTGCCACCACTAATACTACTACAAATAGTAGTAATAAATGTCAATAATAGTGCTATAACAATGTTATATATTATTTATATTTATTCCTTTGTCTGGGCCAGGGAAAGAATAATTCTGTATGTTGTCTTGCAGCACTTTACCGCACTATTTTTGAACATTTTTAAAAAGTGGACAATAAAAATATTGTAATAACACAGAGAAAACCCTAACAATCAGATGACACCCACTTGGTGTCAGTGGGAAGGAAAAGCTCCCTTTTAATAGGAAGAAATCTCTGGCAAAACCAGAATTATAGTGCATCATGGGAAGCCCTGAGCAACTTAGGCCTATTGTAAGTGTAAGTAAGGGAGGGTGCAGAATTATTTGATCCAGTCATAACTATAAGCTTTATCAAAAAGGAAAGTTTTAACCATAATCTTAAAACTAGACAGGGCGTCTGTCTCCAGAATCCAAACTGGGAGCTGGTTCCACAGAAGAGGAGCCTGAAAGCTTAAGGCTCTGCCTCCCATTCTACTTTTAAAATCCCGCAGTCTGAGAGCCAAGTGCTCTCTATGAGTCAAAGAGCACCGCTCTCACCGCTATGGAGGAATAACTCATAATACTCTTTAAATCTCATTGCTAAGCCCTACTACATTACATTTATACATGAAGTATTCTAATACATACAAAAACGACAGCAATAGTTTTTAGATGGCCCATGTGGTCTCACTTTTCAGTGCATCAGTGTTCAAGTATGGCTGAGAAGGCTTTGTGAGCACATGTGTTTGTGCGGTATGTGTGTCAGGGGGTCAGGGAGTGCCATCAGAAACAGCCTGGTAGGCACAGAGATGCAGAGGAGACGGGAAGAATACATTAAATAAAAATCAGAGACATCAACATTTGCTGAAAGGAAATATAATCTATAATACAAAGATGCGAAAAGATCTATTGGGCACAGTTACAATGGGCAGCGGTGGAGAGTTGACACTGGTTTTAAAGAAGCAAACAATGGTGGTGCAATACAGCTCAGTAACATGTGATTACTGCACACCACAGATCAACAGACAATAGTTTTCTTATCCCACGACTGCTTAGATGAGTGGTAAACATGACTCGCCTCTGTGTTGAAATGTTCGCATGCAGCGCTAAGTGTTAGATATAAGTGTAGCTGTTTCCTCAGCAAACCTGCTCACTTACTCACCAACATCTCTCATGGTTTGGTCACATGAAGCGTTTCTAAGACATAAAAATAGTCTTGTTGCTAAGTCTTTTATTATGCCTGTGTCACTTCACCGCCTCTGTCAACATTAGTTCATTTTCTAAATGTTGTCTACAGGTCCTTTTTAAACCCCCCCCCCCCCCCCACTGTATTTTTGCTTCTTTTATTCAACCTGATTAACCCTAACCTTTCTTTTAGTTAAAATGGCCACCTTTGTTACTATTGAACATGTGTCTCAGTACAGAAAGTCGATGATCTTAAATAACAGGCTAACACTGAATTAGAACACCCCCTCAAACACAGACACATGCGCACAGAGGGACCTACATGTGGCCAAAGAGTTCACTTCCTGTCAGTAACCTCAGAGTTTAATCACGTTCAAACATGTGTTGAACACCAACACATACATTGAGCACACATGACTGAAACTTTGGATGGATCTCTGGTGGTGTCCTCACTTCCTCTTTACTCCTCCCTTTCCTTCTCTGTCTGTGGTTTTTGTTTTTTCTTCCGTCTCATTATGACAGTGGAAGTTAAAGACTCTGATTTCATCACTCTGAATGTAGGAAGTAAATCACTCAGTTGCCTTTATAGGTTTTACACCACAGATGTATACCTGTGTCTTTCTGCTGTTGTTCAAACTCTTTAAACCTTTTTGAGCCAGTCTGGTCTTTATTGAGGTCTGCGCTGGAAAGCCGCTTACCCAATTAATACATCATTTAATGTAATCTGAACAGATAAGAAGGTGCAGTGTGGTCCGAACTGACAACTGGGTGAAAGTTTAAAGATGCTGCTGAAGCTGTTAACAGAGGAGATTGCACTTGGGATTTTAAGATTATGAAAACATGTAATACCACTTCCAGTCACGTGAAAAAGAAAGTTTTCACAGTCCTCGTGCAGTTATGTGAAACGCAAAGTACACACAATGATTCAGTAGCTTTAAAAACGTTTAGCATCAATGACTTAAACTGAGCTTTTCTCTGTATCTTTATTGGTCTCGCACATCATTATGGAGGATTTTTAGCTCACTTTTCGTTACAGTGTTGCTTCAGTTCATTGAGGTTTTTTGGCATTTGTTTATACGCAGCTCTCTTAAGGTCCTGCAGTAAATTCAATCAGGTTGACTTTGACTGGGCCGTTGCAACACATCGATTCTTTTCTTTTTCAGCCACTCTTGATAGATTTGCTGCTGTGCTTGGGATCGTTGTTCTCTTGCATGACCCAGTTTGGGTCATGACCTAGTTTGGGTCATGCAAGGACATGACAGATGTGACAAGGACAGATGGCCTCATATTCAGGAGTTCATGGCTGATCCCATGTCTTCAAGGTCTCAAGGTCCTGTCGCTTCAAAACAAGCCCAAATCATCACACCTCCACCACCATGCTTGGCAGGACTGCACAGAGTCCTGTGAAAGCTTTCTGTTTCACATGACTGCATTGAATTAGTTTTAGTTTCCTTTTTTTAATGCCAGTGCCTCACACTTTTGCTGACAAATCAGCATTTCTTTTTGTATTTTTGAATCGCATTGTAGTGTCTTTTCTAAGTTTTTGTTTTATTTGCATCAACTCTTTTATTATCTCTCTTTTTTTAAGTAGCTGGCTTAGTTAGTTATAGTCTAAAAACCTTGCCCTTGACCCCTGAAGCTGACACTTTTGACTTATTTTGCTTTCAGTATATCAGTTTGAGTCATATAACGTTTCAGCTTCCAAAAGTTTTGCGTAACCTAACGAGCTTTAGCCTCATAAAATAGTTTATTTAAATCCCAGACATGAACTAACAACGATGAGCATGACTGAACACTATAGAGGGTCCTACACGCGCATGGTCACAGCAGTGGACATATCACGTCCACGCAGGCGGGGTGGGGAATCGAACCCGCACTGTCAGCTCAGCACATGGGGGACGCCCTCATCGTCCTCAACGTAGCGGAAAACACCCAAGATATGAGATAAACATCGCCGGGAGAAGGCTTATTATAGCTAATAACAGGCTTCACACGGTATCAGGAGGCTACTCACATCTCCAACAATAAAAATCGTGAGCAAATAGATGCAGAAAAGCGCATTTACTCACCATTTCTTAGTACACTCCAAAACCAGTTCCTGGTAAGAAGCGATGAACTGAAACTTTGAAGCCTTTTTACCAACTCGCTGCAGTCTTTTCCACACCGAAGTCATAACTTCCAGCGGTTAAAATAAAACCTAACAAAGAGGAAAACTGAAGAAGCCCTCCGCCTGACAATAATCCAACTTTGTCCGCTGCTTGTGCTCCTTATAAGGCTTTCTTCTTCCTCCTCTGCTGCTGCTGCTCCTGTTGCTTATAATGAACTTCACACAAGCTGTGACTTGCGCTCATTGGCACCGAGTTGAATCACACACTGACACACAACAAAAAGGACAGCAATGTCGCCATGTACAGAGAAGCAAGAGCCGAACACCGCGAGCAGGCAGCTGGAGAGTCAGTAAAGAGGAACCGATTCCGCTCTGTCATTAACACAAGCTTCAAATTAATACGACGAAGTTTCAGTCAGACCACTGCAGGAGCTCTCACTGACAGCTTGTCCCTCTCTTTCTGCCAGTAATCCACATGTGGAGACGGCGCAGCTGACTCAAGCGTGGGGTTGTTGTAATATAGGTCTGCTTCCTTTAGAGTTAGTTAACCCTCTTCATGGGTGAAAGCAGCCAGCAACAGAGAGACAGGCAGAGTCAGACAGGATATGCAAAGACTGATGCAGTGGTATGCAAACTCCTTTATCTTGCTGCTTGTGTGGAGGCACTGAGGTGACAGTCCTCAGTTATACCTGCAGACTTTGATCCTAGCTATCTTGAACAGCCTTATCTGACATTTAACTTAATCAGCCGCTCATAATCTCATCTCCAGCACGCTGAAAGCACACTGTGTCTTGAAATTGCGTTTTTCAAATTGGGTATATAACTGAAATCACTTTCTGAGTTTCGGCTGCGTCATCCAACGTTCACTCGGGAAAGTGTGCTTCATGTAGTTAGAGGAATAGTTTCCACTGAGGAGAGCCAATAGACTCCAGTCCAGTGTGTGTTTGTGCGTGTATGCGTGTGTGTAAGCTAGGTCAAGGCACAGGGATTTTCCTCAGTGAGAGCAGGAGTGTATTTATAGGATGGAGAACAGGGATTGATGGATGGACAGAAGCAGCTGGAGTAGAGGAGTGTGGGGCAGCAGCAGGGGGGTTGGGGGGGTAACTCTCTCATGACTCAGAGTTGGGCTAATGTTACTCTTTGGTTTGGTATTCAACACAGCATTATACCTCTCAGTACCTCTGCCCAATCCTACTCTAAACATGTACACACACACATACACACATAACAGCCTGCAGTGTCATCTCATCCCCTCATTTGTTAATTGGTGCTCTGTGCAGTCAGTAAAACTAATTTCTGTCTACTGTAAACACTTGCTGCTGTCTTGCCTCTTCTACTGTAGCACAAACATGTAATTTTTGTGTTGTCTCTTTTATTTCCATATCACTTTTGTTTCTCTTCGCCTATCTGGGTTATTTCCCAGCTGTAGGTACTGACCTCACAAGTCAGTGTATTGTAGCTCTGGTAGTATTATTCCCCTTTCCAGCTTTGCCTGCTGTCACCACCCCTTCTGATGTCTATTTGTTTTACTAATCAGCGACTGTTGAATTTACAGTAACTGAGTCATATGATACCAATAGTGATAAAAAGGCTTCTATGAGACGAGCAGTGAGCAGTGGGAAATATGTGAAACATAAAAATTTACATTTGCATTGAGCCTAAAAGGCCAAACCACAAAAACATTCTGGTGATGGATGAGATAGAGAGCATGAACACAGACACACACACGCACACACACACACGCACACACACAGAAATTCAGCCCAACTGTCATTTAGAGTGACAGAGAGGCATATTCTAACAATATCCACAACATGTGTTGATTATAAATAGAGAACAGCGTGAGACTTTCTTCTCAGACATCTCTCCAAAGCAAATGGTTTTCCCCATGCTGCAGCCATGTAAGATGACCTCAGAGAAGGAGGAGGAGAAGGTGGAGGACTGCAGGAGCTCTCTCTGGACTGAAGACAGCATGTCCCCTGTTGGTCATATTTGGCAATACCACCCCCTGGTTGTCTTTAACCGAATGCAGGAATACTGTTCATATCTGTGGCACACGCTGAAGTTATATTCCAAGACTTAAATGCAAAGTATTAAGAAAGAAAAACTATGATGTGCAAAGTCACTTGTTAAACACAGACACTGACTTCCAAACATTTAATGACAGCTTAATATATCTGCATTCATGGCCTCTGAACAGAATCCCATCAGGATTTACTCAGGAATCATTTCTGATAATCTGACAGTCGATTTTGTTATCGCTGGAGTCTCAAGAGGAAGCAAAATGGTTTGTTTTGTATGCATAATTTAAAAAAAAACAAAACTGGTTGTTTTTCCCCATACACTGCTGTTGAAAACCTATGGTCATTTAACATATTGAAGTGAAGTAAGAAAATCTTGGACAAATCACACACCTCCCTGATACTACTGTGTGAAGGATAAAACTCTAGGATTGCGGCTCAGAGTCTCTAAACCTCCCACTGTATCACACACAGTGGCAAACATCTGATTAGGAACATGAAAGCATCCTGTTCACCATAAAAAAAACAACCAACCTAAATAGCAAAAGAAGAGATTTCTTTGTATAAAACATACACAGTGAAAAATGATGAAATCCTCATGAAACCACAAACTGCATGCCTGCATTCACATCTCTGTGAATGCAGGCATGCATTTTCACAATCAAACAACAAGCACGTTGGAGCATGCAGATGGCACAAAATATGCCTGAACAGTGCTAATGTCTGATCTTACTCGTCTCTCTTGATTTTCTTCTCCAGCAGTGGTTGTAAGTTCTCCTGCAGCACAGCGAGTGCAAGTTAGTGTATTTTTGCTTGGAGTAGCATACGACTTTTGAATGAGTGTCAATTTTTACCAAGTTGCAAAGTTCTGGATCCCACATAGATTAGGGAACCTTTACACAATTCTCATATCAAGCATGCAGCACGATGAGAGAAAACGGACTTTACAACTTCATGTTTTCAGATAAATTCAACTAATCTAAGGTTAAATTCCAACCTGAGGTTTATAAGAGGAAGAAACTGCCACATAAGTGGTTATAAACTGTTACAAACTTCCCCTCTGACATTACCAATCACATCAGGAGAATGGCAAATAAAGCTGTCATGGATATACACACCAGTCAAAAGTTTGGACACAGCTTCTCATTTAATGGTTTTTCTTTATTTTTTACTACTTTCTACATTGTAGACACATACTGAAAACATCAAATACATGAAGCAAGATATATGGAGTCATGTAGCAAAAAAATAAATTATTGATAAAAAACTCTAAATCCGTTTTATATTTTAGATTCCTGAAAGTAGCCACCCTTTGCTTTGTTGACAGCCTTTGCCTTCTATCAATGAGCTTCATGATGTAGTCACCTGAAATGGTTTTCGCTTCACAGGTGAGCCTTGTCAGGGATTATTTGTGAAATTTCTTGCCTTCTTGATGGGGTTGGGACCATCAGTTGTGTTTTGCAGAAGTCACAGCTGGTACACAGCTGACAGCTTTCTTTGACAACTGTTAGAATTCATATTATGGCAAAAACCAATCAGTTAAGTAAAGAGAAATGACAGCCCATCATTACTTTAAAAACTGAAGGTCAGTCAGTCCAGAAAATGGAAAAACTTGGAATGTGTCCCCAAGTGTAGTCGCAAAAACCATCAAGTGCTACGATGAAACTAGCACACATGATGACCGGCCCAGGAAATGAAGACCAAGAGTCACCTCTGCTGCTAAGGATAAATTCATCCAAGTCACCAGCCTCAGAAATCGCAAGAGACAAGGAGGAAGAGAGAACTCTTGTGTGCTTCTTATCTTTCTCCACTTCCTTAGAGAATCCATTATCAGTATTCAAAGAGGGATTGAACAGAACAGAGAAGCGCCAAAGTAAAACATCTGTTCTTGCCACTTGAAAAAAATAAAATACAGCTCAAGTTTCATTTTGAGGCGCTATTATGGAGTCATTAGAATGACTGAGTGTTTTTGACAGGGCTTAGTAGTTTAAATTGGGTATGGGTGTGGATGCAAGGTAAAAGAAGCGCCGAAGTGCATAGAATAAAGTGCTGTATAAATATTTGTGTGAAAAGATGAATGTGGCTTGCAAAACAGGTCATTTTTATTTTATTTTCTATAAAAAACCCCTATGTAAATCCTGTTATCTATAATGTTTACCAATACAAAAAAAAATCTGGAAGATTATCACTTTTGGACTGGATGCTTCCTCACCTGATGTGCAATTTCTCCGAGCCCCAGCACCATCCCCTGCTGGAGGTCAGGATGTTGCAAGTCCTTGGGCAGCAGCAGCTTCAGTGATGAAAAGACACCACCCAGTGGACAGTCAGCTCCGTGGCACAAATTCTTCCATCACATCATCGGGAGACGCAATGGCACAGATAAAACATGGAAAACAAACCTTAAGTGGAAACAGTCCTTATGTATTTCTGTTTCATTCTCACAGAAGATTGCTGCCCCATCGAAACCACTTTCCAAGTGCAAAGCAGACTAGATGTAATGTGGGAGTAACAAATGTGAAGTCAAGCTTTCAGACAGCATCCCTGCTTCACCCGGTTGCAACAGCACCACGATTGTCCTGATTTTGGGATAAAGTGCACAACGGTGGTTTCTTTAACTGAAGCACTTCTCTAACTCCAGTTAAATCCCAGACCAGCCTGCCACGCAATAAATCAAAACTTGCATGGAGATGATGCAAAAGCCATAAACATTTATTTTGCTTCAACACATCATTCTCACATTAAAACTATATTTTGATGTGTTTCTGTGCCCCTGTAAACGACTTTAAACCCCACCTTGTGTGTGGATGGTGTTGTGTATGGAACCAGCCCTCTTATGAAAAGAAACAAGCTGCAGAGCTCCTGAACAAGAAGAGCTTTATTGTGATACATTATTAGAAATCTTTAACTACCTTGATCAACACTGAAGCTGGCTTTTCCTCTATCAACATACAATTCAGAGTATATTTGCTCTCAGCTTTTTTCAAAGTATTATGTCTGACTCCCGAACTCTGCGTGCTCTCATAGAGACATCGGCGAGCCACCTGACCGTCACCATTAGGCATCAAACACATATACAACAAAAACTTTCTACAATGACCATCTTTGCACTGCCACAATGTCAGAGACATCAGAAACAGATCCAGAATGAGCAGCAGGCTTTGTCAGACAATACAGGGCCACATTAGAGGAATGACGCATTTTGGCAAAAATACTGACTATAAATCTGAATGTAGTAAAAGATCCCTTATAGCTCTTTTCCACCGACATGTGACTAGTGTGAAGCCAGTTCTGCCCAAGGAGGACCATCCCAAATTTCCACAGGTTTGACAATCGAGTGGTAAAGAGAGGAAGAAAGGGTCATTTCTAAGGGGAGATAACAACGCAGGACAGACTCTGTTGGCTGCTTCAGCAAATCATTGGTGAATATCTGGTGATAGCCCCTCTATCAGACACTGACATCAGTGGTTTCAACTTAGGGTCCAGCATTTGTGGTGCTGTATCAAAAAAGCTGGCTTTTTCTCAATGGAAATGCATAGAAACATGTGTTAACTGGCATTTATCTCTTTGCTCTATAGATTAAACCATATTAGAAGAATTTAATCACAGAATGGGTTAAATTAATTATGCTTTTAGATTAATATCAGCTCTAACTTCCAAAAGAGTGAAAAAACAGTCAAATTTGTAACATTTCTGCCAGCTATACAACTACATTAATCCAAGAGTAACCGGTGCACTTTTGATGTTATATTCCTATTTTCATAATACTTTCTGACCAATTTTGAAATCATCTCTAAGCAAGAGAGAAGCTGAACCAGAGTCATTACTCCAAGACAGAGGCAAGCAGAAACAGTGTTCCAGGGTTTCAGCCAGTCTGTGGCAGCTACTGGGTGAGCTCCTTGAGGCTGCGCAGCGAGTTGGCACAG